TTTTTTTTTTTTTTTTTTTTTTGGGAAAAAGCAAGGAGTCCATTATCATGATTAAAACCATGAGGCCGGGAATTCCTCACAAACAACCCGGAAATGAATTCGTCACTGCTGGGACCATTACCCAGTATCGGTATGTGGGTTTTACCCCAACAACACTAGGCGAAGCCTTATAACAAGGGCCGGTGGGCCGAGGCCCTCCGGGAAGCAACCAAAAACAAACACAACAACCCCCCCCACAAGCAAACGAAACAAAGAGAAAGCCTCAAATAAGTGGCGAATCTATCTAACCTACCTACTCGCGGGGCAAAAAAACCCTCAAAGCCCCGACTAACACGTCGGGGTGGAACTCCGTCCTCCTACACCTGGGACACTCTCCTTCCCTCACAATCCCTCTTTCTTCCTATCGCGGAACTTACAACCGAGTGCGCCTGGTTGAACGTAAACTTTCCCCCTACACTACCTCCCCTTTAGTAACCACTCCGAGAAAACCAGGGTGCGGTCGCCCTTGACAGTCACCAGACTACCTCTGTCACCCCACGTGTTTCCAAACCATCTCCTGCCCTTCTGCTTATCCGGTGCTCTCTCCACCTTCCTCTTCCAGTCCGCTGCAATAGCATTCCGAATCTAAAGTTTGAACAGGTTGACCTGTTCCTTGTCTGCCACGTCTTCTTAGTTGAAAACCAGTTTGTTCCGACCAGACCAGGTCACAGCAAAGCCGATCGCTCGTGTTACCTGGGCAAGGTATCCCCATCCCTCATCTAATTGGAGATTCTGCGGAGTTCCCCCAAGCAAAACCCACAGTTTGTCCCACTGGAAGGCATTATTGGACAGCTTCTCCCACATTCTTGACCACCATCTCCATATTCGGGCTGAAGCCGGGCAATCCCACCATAGATGGACGGAGGACTCAAAGGCCCACTGGCATCTTCTGCAGGTAGTGTCCACCTTCAATCCTCTTTCGCTCAGCCAAATTGCTGATGGAGTCGCCAGCAGAGAGAGAAGCCACGGGGTAACAGCCAGTCTTTGTGAAGGCAAAAGGTACAGTTGTTGCCAGCAGCGAAGGACAGCTTTCATCACCTGCTCTGGGTCAACCTGAAGGACCCTCACCCATCTGTCTGCAGCCACCCTACGGGGTTCTTTCGACGAATCCTGAAGCTTATAACCCAACTCCACTGTGTACTCTAAGACTGACAAGTCAGATCCTTTAAGCCCTCTGCTCCTCCACCTTCTCTGTTGGGGATCAATTTTCCTTTCTGCTATCGACTTGCTGTTGCCTCATAGGGACACTGACCACTCCCCTTCTTCATTGCACTGTTCCCTTACTCTAATCCGAGACAGCACCGCTGGAGGTCTGACTGGGATCAAAATCTCCTCTGTCAGGTCCAGCCTTGTTGTATTCCCACATAATTGCCATACCTCAAAGGTCCTCCCGCTATCTCCCTCATACCCCGTCAGTTTCCGAAACTCCCTCCTTTCTTGGGCTAGTTTGTCTACATACCAAGTCCCTGGTGGGTCCAGGCTCCCAGGTTCCAGGATAGTCTTCCACGCGTCAGGGAAAGCCTGGATAACCTCCTCTAGCCTATTCTCCAGACAACTGTTGTTACGCAGACCCAGGTCTCTTGCTTTTACCCAGTTTTGAGAGAACTCGTCCCAGATGTCCCTTACCCAAACTACCCCATTCTCTATCCAAGATCTGCCAAAACTTCCTGGTTTCCTATCTGCGGCCAACCATCTTCCCCCCTTATCTCTGATTAACGGGTTTTCGAACAAGATCTGCAGGAGGACTTCCTGCTTTGTTACCGGTTATGTACACCTGTCCGGTTTAATCCTTTGTCACGCCTTCAAAAAGCCTTTCCACAGTTATGACTTAACCGGCCTACGCAGATACGATTCAATCCAAATGCAGGCCCAAGTGTCTTCCGTTCTGCTTAGATGCCAGCTATCTGCCAGTAGCCTTTCAGCCAACCTTACCCAATGCACCTCATTGTTCTCCTCTAACGCCTTAGGGACCCAAGCTGCGAGCATCGCTGTATTCTGCTTCCCTGGGTCTTTCAAGCCCAATCCCCCTTCTTGTCTGCTATGGCAGATAGTATCCCATGCGACTTTCATAATGAACCCTTCTGTCTCCAAGCCATAGGGTTTCCAGATAAATTTTGCCGCCCTCCTTCTTACAACCTTCCTGACTTCCTGGTCGAGGGGCCGCACTTTCCCCACATACCAGAGGAGTGCGAACAGTGCCACGTTAACTACCAATGCCCTTCCCATTAGGGAGAGGTTAGGGTTTTTTCCCCACGTGGACATGCGGTTCATGATTCTCTGCTGCAGGAGACCATCTTGTTCTGCTGCACAGGATAGAAGCGAAACCTGGACGCCTAGGAAACGTTCAGACTGGCTAGCATCTACTCTTTTCATCCCCCACTGCACCGTCAAGTTGTGGGACTCTGGAAGCAGATACACGGATTTAGACCAGTTAATAGCCGCCTCCGAGAGTTCTTCGTACTCTCTCAGACGTTCCCTCAAGGCTGTCATGGATGGTTCAGAGTTTTCCACCACCGCGAACAAGTCGTCCGCCAGGGCCTTGACCCGGCAGTCCCTCCCTCCAGTCGGAAGACCCTGAATTATTTGCTCCGCCCGAATGTTACAGAGAAGTCAGGCGACGTCCTTCCAGCGCGGGGCGACGAGCGGCGATGGGGAGCAACAACGAGCGGCGAGGAGGGGGGAAAGAGGGCAGGGCTGATGGTGACAGGGTGTGATGGAGGATGATGAGGCAGGGGGCAGGGGTGGGTGGAGGCACCTTGTGGGGCTCGCGACTCGTCAGTACGGTGCGGGAGTAATCAGGTGAAGTGGCGGGCGAAAGTGCGAGGTGAGTGATGGCAGGGAGTGACAGTTCTTGGTGGTGATTCTAACGGCGGGCTACGAGAGATGGCAGATCGAGCAGATTCCTGCCACCATGGATGTTCTTTCTTCCTCCGGACCGCCAGCGAGGAGTCATCGACAGGCTCGATGGTTTGGGCTCGCTACGTGGTTGTGTTGAGGTAAGTGTTAGCCACGGTCCGACAATCTAACGTTATTTTCATATTTGTGCACATACGAAATTCGAATCTGACGTTGTTTTCATATTTGTGCACATAAGTTTGGGCTCTTATTTTTTGAATTCGATATTT